GCTGATGCTCCATCATACACGGAGTCATTAAAGAAGACGTCCAGGCCTCTGTAGATCATCTGGTCTCCATCTGGGATGCTATAAGACATCAGGCCATCTAAAACAGGCACATCAACATCAACAAATTGTGATTAACTTACTCAGATGAACAAAAATATCAGCATGTTAAACACCACAAAACTGGATTAAAGCAAACAATCCATAAACTGGACTGTATAAAGATGTTAATAGCAGATATCAGAGACGAACCGAGCCATTCACAGCCGTACAGCTCCACCCTCATGCACACGATCATGGAGTGGTCGGTCACGGGCATGAAGCGGACGAAGCGAGCGATGATGGGAGGCTCCAGGTCCTTCAGCACCACGTCGTATGCGTTCCTGTTGCCCTCGATGACCTGCCAGAGGAAAAGCAGATGACAGAATTTAGACTGCGGGTGAATCGTGCCGTGGATGAAAACCAAACCGCGGAAATATACACACACTGTTAATGTTTTGGCTCGTTGAACAAAAACTCTGCTGCAGGAAACCGGAGCTGCTGAAGAGACTAAATTGCTGCATTGAGCATTCTAGCAGCATGAATATGTAATTGTCAAATCGATTGAGACAAATTGGCAGTCTTTATCTCATACCAGAAAGGACAATTCTTACAACTAATTAGCAGTTCTGGCTAATTTTACTGTTTCCCAATTACAGAAAACACTTCCTTATAATATTAACTGTAGGGAAGTTTGAGCATTTCTATTTGCTGCAAAGAATACTTCTTCTTTCTTTCTTTCTTTCTTACTATCTGTCTGTACATCAGTGTGTCTTTTTTGTTTTGTTGTTGTATTCTAAGAACTATTTTTCTGTTGCAGCTGGTTGAGCTGCAGGTCATTTAAAAGCTGCATTTGGTAGAAATCCTGACAGGCCAAAACAAAAATCAAACAACTGTCAGAATTGGAAAACATATAGCTCTCTACTCCTGCATCTCTTCCCTCTGCTTTCTGTTAGAAGCTCCTCAGATACACAAAGATAGTCCAACTGAAAGCCAACATTTGAGTCTTCGCTCAAAAATACTATCAGCGGTTTAACTACAAGCAGTTCCTGTATGGTTATAGTTTAATCTGTAATCTATTTTATGTACCTGTCTTGTAATTTTACCACTTCTAGGTCTATCTATCTATCTATCTA